CTGCTTATTATTCTAATTGATGTTTTTTGTCCTAATAATTTTTGTCGGCCGGTTTGGCTTTCCTTTGCTTTCGAAAATTTATTTTCTGGGGAAATCAATTAGTTGAAAGTTAGTTAATAGATCACTACCGATCGAAATGCTAATTCATTTTTCTACGTTAAGACTTTAGATTGTTTGAAAGAAGTAGAAAGAGAAGAAATTAGGAAGGGTATAACTATTCGCATGGCACTAATTATATGAATGTTTCCCTACTTAATATATATATATATATATATATATATATATACATAGATAAAGGAAAACTTTATATTATATACATTACATGTATGATATTTTGCTTCGAGTTCTTTTGATGAAATGACTGAAGCACTTTGCTCAGAGAATCCCTATACAAAATTATGCATGTATGTAATTTGATAAGTTCAGAGATAGTTTTTGTTGTCATCTTTTGTCGTGAAAAAAGAGAAAAGAAGCAAAAAAAAAAACAAAAATAAAGAAACCAATATATATAACTATATATAAAAAAAAAAATGAATGAAATAAGTATATAGCTTTGAATTAAATGAAATAAATGCTCAATCAAAGAGCACTCACTACATTTATTCATATTACGAAAAGAAAAATCAATGCAACTTTATTGCATGATACATGACAGATGGCGAGTTACAATAACTGAAACGTGCAGACATGCTCTTGTTATATTTTGGGGCCACTCAAATGCATATCTGTACGATATACTTAATTGTGTATGTGTCTAAGTATTAAATAACCGCTTTTTTTCGCTCCTTTTTTTTTTCATTTCATTTTCGTAAGTATGATGTATGCATACATTAAAACACAAAAAAGGGAGGAATTTTTTACAATTCAATATTTAAATAGCTATCGACTAACATAAAAAAAAAATAAAAAAAAAAAAAATTAAAAAAAAAGAAGAGAAAAACATTAAAAATATTATTTGATTACAGCTTGTGATTTTTTTACAGTTGCTATTGTTGTTGTTGTTTTTATTGTTTTTGTTGTTGTTGTTGTTGTTGTTGTTGTTGTTGCTATTGGCATTGATGTTATTACTTTTACTGGTGCAATACAAATGCACGTTACACCAGCTCACACATCTATCCATATATACATTGACACGCAACACTTACACACAAACATACATACAAATAAACACACGCACAGGCTTAAAATGAAATAAGTGGAATGTTAAATTATACGTGTTTTTTACCTTAGTTTTTCGACTTTTTTTTTTTTCATTTCTGCACAGAATGCTAAAACGGATCTTAATAGTAATGCAACAAAAAAAAAAAAAAAAAAAACATATATGTATTTAAAAAAAACAAACGGAAGGGAAAGGAAAAACAGCTATTTAAGTGTAAGCGTAAAAACAAACAGAGAACAAAATGAAACGAGAGGAAACAAACATATACAAAGGTATGTGCATATATGCAAAATGAAAAAAAAAAACGTTGTGTATTGAAAATGCTAGAATTTCCGTTTGGAGCATTTAAAAATATATAAATATATAGAAGTGCCTATATACATATTGCGGATATAAACAAATGTACCAATGCACGTCACCCTTTAAGGTCCACTTTTCTATATATATATACGTGTACATATACGTGTACATATATATGCGTGTATATATATATATATATATGCATGTCCGTATATATAAATGCATACATCCATACATATATATTTATTATTAGTATTTTTCCTAATTAGCTTTTTTTCATTTTGGCTTTTCAATGCGGAATAAAATATGTTTTTGCAATAAATCTTTTACTTCAATCGGTTGAAGAAAGAAAAACGAACAAAGCAAAAGACAAGGAGATACCTATGAAGAGCAAAACAGAGGAACGAATAAAGAAAAGTCATGGATTTGAGAGATTTAGACATCACTAACGTACAAAGTACACTTAAATTTAGTTTTAGTTTTCTATGTCCTACGTGAGTGAGTTACGCGTAAATGCCATAAAAGTGATTAAGTTGACTTAAGATTAGTGACATGGTTAAGAGCGAGACTAATTGCTTTTACGGCGAATAATCCTATCATTCAATTAAAGCAAGCAAGTAATAGCGAAACCATGCAAAAAGTTCTCTCAGTATAGCTAAGATTGTGTCTGATTGTATCTCGTCTCGTCAGGTGTCAGATTGCGTCGCCTTTTTGAAATCAATTCTACCAAACTATGCGGGAAACGAACAGCAAGAAAAACGTTTTAATGGTCGCCATTGTTTTGTTATGTTAATTGGCAAAGAAAACACGTGTAACCATGGGACCAATGGCATGACTTGTACGACGAGTAATCGGAACGTCATATATAAACGCTAAATAAATTGCAGGCTAAATAAATTGCAGGCGACTATTATTTCTTCACACTAATATGATAGATTTATGTTAAAGTCATTTATATATCATTATTGTATTAAAACGCAAAAAAAAAAAAAAAAAAAAACCAAATTACTTCTGTCTGGGAAGATTTTATAATTGCCTTAATGCGACTTTAGCAAACTCCACTACATAAAGTAGATAATGCCAACCCCACTCCTCTCTTTGGATGTCTCAATGTACGTTTCTACAGTTTGTTTAAAATTGCCGATCGCCGCTTTCAAACTATCGATGATACAGTACGAAAACCGTTTCGATTCTGTTCTGTCTTTCCATTTCTAGCTTGAGTCCCGACAATATCATAACCAGATGTACTGATTATTAATCCGTATTTTGATACATTGCCAATGTTATAATAAAATTAAATGTAAACATGAAGATATTCAGCATTTTAGCAATTGCGCGAGATGCGGCTTATTAATCTATTTGAAAGCTGCTGAAGAATAATCGGAGTTACGAGAGAATGTCGCTTTGCACATCAATGAAGATTAATTGAATTGGTTTCATTCTTTTGTTCTTGCACCTATCATTCAAAAATATATATCAAGGGCCACTCTTAAAATATTGCTTGATTCTTCCATCTGTCCGTCCGTCTGTCTGCTATTGACAAACTCACACGCCCGCAACTATTATGACAGAAAATTGGAATTTTAGTTTCTATATATATATATATGCAAATTTAATGGTCACAAATTATGGATAAAATTCGAAAGTTATTGTAGTTACATAACGAAATCCAACTGCATTGAAGTTACAATCAAAAATTTACGAATACCATTCATAATCGCAATAAAGAAATGGACTTGGCTTAATGGTCGAAAAAAACGTGCTTACAATGAGTGAAAAAAATTTAATACGTATTCTCTAAGCGATATTAATAAACTAAAACTCAATAATACAAACACTCTTTTATGGGCAGTTTAAAGGGATCAGTGTAAAACGGTTGCGATAGATTAATTGATGAACCTACAACGTTGTAATTTTTATCTGCTATCTTGAGATGATTCGGCCTAATGCCAATAAAACATTTTCAATTCTCACTACCTTTGCTATCTTCGTCTGACCAATTATCTTTCAATTAAGTCAAACTGTTAACGAGCTTCTGATTACTTGTAAATGTGTATAAATATCTAAATTCCATGCAAAAGGAACGGATGAAAGTGTATATGTATACATTTGAAGTGTTATAAATAAATATGGCAAGACAATCAAAAATGGTAACTTTATCTGTCTCCGATAAAGCTTCGGTATCCAATACAACATGCAACAAAATTCATAAAAATTATCCCATTTCCTTTATTTTCTTCTCATTCCTTGCTAGATAATCAAGGTTTATGTCGATATTCATTATAAGTGATTTGTTAGTTATTTAATATTTTTTTATTTCTCTCTACAAGATTCTCTTTCCATTTTCTTTTTCCTTTAGATAAATGTATTTATAAAATTTATAACTAAAATCTATGTATAATATATGTTCGGTGACTTTTCTAATATTTACAATTTTCAAATATCTTAAGAAATAGCAAAGTGAAGAAGAGAAAGGCAGACAAGCGGAAATGTCTAAATTAGTTAAGACACTTACGTTAACTAATAATGCATAATATCTAAGTCTTTTAGGATTTTTGAGAGGAATTTAATGGATATTCTGAAGGTAATAATAAATTAAATGAAGCGTCGTTAGTTGTGCTCTATCCCATTAGCTTTTGCAATTACACATACACACTGTACAACTAACGTATCCAGTGTCCGTAGTGGTGTGGAATATAAAAATGTAATTATTTTGTAATCAA